TTAGAAACATTTAATAATCACTTACTTTTAAATCTTAATTCCTATATATAAGAAATTATGATTGATAAAGCCTTTCTCTCACTATAATTATATAATCACACTTGCGTTGAGTTTCATGTATAATTACAGTAATTATATCAAGTATCCGTATTTATAATTGACAACATCTCTCTGAATTTACCAATAACACTTTAAATTTTCAACATAACAAGATGAAATGTAATATTGCAAAAATGTTCATAACATTTTAGACATTCAGCAATTCAATAGCGCGATATTATTATTCTTATTACGAATTATTGTATTACAATATATTAAGTAGTTGCAACCTGAGTGAATAATAAAAAGAAAATGTTCAGTCCACTGTATAGTACATAAAAAATTGCGAGTAAACTTAGACTTGAATGAAACTCCAAATTGTTGTACTAGATATATTTAGATTTTGCAGACGTATTTTTAGGCGACTGTAACTACTTAAACGCTCGTTCTCTTATTTTTAACAGATAATCATTTTTCCACATCTGCACAAGTGTAGTTTTCAATTTAAATAATATATAAAGTCTTTTTTTCTTCCTTTTTATAAAGTATTTCTTTTATTTAGTAAATCTAGGTAGCCGAAACACCTTGAATTAAGGCATACTCTCGAGTATTTCTACAAAATACGCACAGAGTCCTGTACTTTTGCAGAACTGCCCATATATTTCTTCTAAGTCTGTATACATAAACCTTTTGCAACTTTTTTTTTTGTTTGAAAGACAAATGACGGATGTGATAGGGATTATGATATATTGTATCAAAAGCACTGATAAGTACCGAGTGGATTTCTTAGCTCGTACTTGACAAGTCAGATCTGTGTAGAAAATCTGGGACGCGGTAAGTCTCCGAATATTGTATCACCGTGGACGCTCTTGGCTAAGGCCTTAATTGAAGCTCGAATGTTGTTCGGGTCGAATGGATCACCGGGCAACTGTAACGATATTTTTGTTTGTTACACAAGATACACTGAATCATAGGCAAATTTCAATCAAATAATATCAATAAGATCGAAACTAATGAAAACAGGAAAAACCTAGTAATGCTGTCGATTTCGACCAGCTGGATACCCGAGTTTTTCGGTAACTGGATATACGGCTAATTTCAGACGTTATCACTATCTGTTACTGTCTGAAATTGGCCTCAGTTATTGAAAGACGGATATCCGGGTGGTCGAGATTAAAGCTCCGGAGTAATCGCTGCGACTATCCTTGTTTAATGAGAAAGCGAGAGCATAGCTCCGGAGTCTTAACAGCGCTAAAACCTAGCTTGTATAATATCACAATAATTGCACAATCATTAGAAATGTTTAAAGATGCGTGAAATTTCACCTGATCGTCATCTTGATCCTGTACTCTACGACGAATCATAGAAGGGAAAGCGGGTACAGTGACAGGTAGCGATTTAGCCAAAGTGGAGTGACCATCCCGTTGACTTTTTGGCATATGAATCCCTTCGTCTTGGCCCGAATCTGAATCAATTATTTTCTTAATTTCTGTTAAGAATGGTCAATATATATATATATATAGTCAAAATATATAAAAGCCAGTCACTAGAGGGGGTGCAATAATTTAATCCAATAGTGGAAGGATAATTGCTCGACAGTGTAACGTACACGCTATACCGATATTTTTTTCCAAACTTTCTTCGTACTAATTAGTAGTTAATTACATCGAATCGCGCGCGTAATTTTGATATTAACACCTTCGTCGCCCAGCGTGATTCAATAGCGAACAATTCGGTCTGTTCTTCTTGGCTGAACTGGCTGCTAGGCTAGTTCATGAAATTTACGCACACTGAAGCGTGAGAACCTCATGCGCACGCATTCAATATGTGTGTAAATTTCTCGAACTAGCGCAATTGGTTCAACTAAAAAGAATAAGACTAATTATTGGTGTCACGAAAAATACTGCCTCCGCCAGGAGTTGAACCCGGACCTCTTAAACTTGGCCGGGCGGACATCGTACTAATTTCGCCACTGATGTTTCGACAATATATCACTGTTACAGAAATAACGGGATCTCAATGTCCTTCTCGCCGTGAGATAAACGACGAATATTTGCAAAGGCTCTGAAAATGTACAACTAGCAAGAAAAAGTGACCAGGGAGAGCCAGTTACTAAATGTTGAACGCGCTAAACGACTTTAAATTGGTCTTAAATACAAAGAAATTCTTTGCTATTATATTAAGGACAAATAATATTTTCCAAATATTACCATCAGTATCAGATTCCTCTTCCGAAGATTGTATTTGATTAGGAGCATCTGTATCTTCTACCCCGTCGAGAGTAAACATCGTTTCCGTATCAAAGCTAACTGATCTTTTAGTACAAATATATAATGGCTTTTTCTTTTTCGTACTTTCATTCTGTAAAGTTCATCGTTAATTGAATTTGCATAAGTAATTGCAAGAAAAACATGAGAACGTAGATGAAGCGTTATCGGTAAAGATACAAGATAACAAAGGCAACTTACATTAGCGGAATTAGAAAAGTGCCTAGGAGCTGTCTCGTGTTTAACATTTGAGCCAGCGAGAACTTTTGTATCGTCTAATGCTACGGTAGATTTCGGACCGTCCACCATATTAGCTGCAGAGGTAGTCAGAGTATTCTTAAAGCTGTCGGGAGTTGTCGGCGGAGTTTCTATATTATTGGTTACTCTACTTGTCTCTTCTCCTTTACACACTAGTCTAATTCGGGACAAACGAGTCATGATTACTATTACGTAATAATAATAATGGTAACGCAGCTCGAGATGATAGCCATTGAGGGTCATACTTTGATAATAGCCTATGTTCGTTGTGTGCTCTTTCGCGAAATTGCTCCAACAGCTGATACTGTTCCGCAGTAAATGCACGTATTTTATCCTCTATCACTGCCGTTTGACGCTGCACAGCTTCCTCTAGTTGCCGTTGTAATCCACCTAGAGCCACTTGAACCGTGTTAGGTAATTGAGACACTGGAAAAATGAAAGAAGAAACAGTTCAGTTTGACGTCGGCTTGTCACCCGGTTTCACTTGGAAACACAATGAAAGCGGACGCTGTTATACAGAGTGTCCCAAACTAATCTCAGTTTCCGCGGTGTGACTGAGCAAAAAAGTCGCGTGCCATTTTGCAAAATTCGCAACGGTTCATGTTCTAAAGGAAGGCAATGTTCTGAGAGATCTTCAGAAGTAAGCCATTTTTCTTTACACAGAGTTTTCGGCCTATCGTTTCCCGTGCGCTCATTAATTCACACAAAATCATTAATTTCTCATTAACTATCGTGAATTTTGCAAAATGACACTTTTCTACTCGGTTTCACCCGTTCTACCTGCACACCGCGGGAATCGAGATTACTTTTGGGACACCATGTATGTATAATGCGTTCACCCACACCTACCAGAAAATTTATTAGGTTGTTGCAGATAGTCGTCCAAGTCTTCTACACTGTGATCAACTATTATCCTAAATACTTGGCTGTAGTCCGGATTGGACTTCAATTTATTTATTTCCTCAGATGATAACTGAAACGCATGCAACATGTTTCGAATTGAAGCTTTAAAATTATTAGTTCAAGACTAAAAGTTGAAAAAAAAGAATAATATCAAGTCGATAGGCAAGATTTTCGTTTGTGTGGTGAGAGTAAAGGTGTATCTTTGATTGATTCATGCAAAGATAATCATTTTTGATCGAATCAGTTAAACTTATCAAGTTGTATATCTCCCTAGTGTTATATTTTGTCACAGATAAAGAATGAAACAAACAACCTGAACATATTACACAGTGATCAGTGAATATTGTTTGAAATTCCCAAAGATGCAAATTAAATCAGTCTATGCACAAAAGGAATGCGAATAAACTGAATAAGCATGTCAAGTACAATGAATTATCATCCATGTGTTACAAAATGTGAAAGAAACATTTGGACCAACATCACTGTTTCACTTTATATTTTATGTTATGTAACTATACAAATGAATATTATCTGTAATATGTCCTGCACTTACAACAATATTGCTATTAATAAGGACTAAAGCAGCACCGTATTCCCTGTGGACAGCGTGAGTATACATTGAGCAATTGTAACAACGATGTATAATCCATGACCCAACATTCTTTATATCCACTAAACCGGGTTGTTCCTTAGTAATAGTCTCCAGTCCCGGTACACTTGCCAGAACCTGTAAAAAATAAGATCGACATTTATCACACGTTATCAATGTCGCATGGTATATTGCTTTTAATGAATTTTTAATCACAATTGGTTCATCAAAAACTGAAACTTTCCGATCACTAATACATTCGGCGTGCGAGTGTTATATAAAACGAGTGCTTAAATCGCGAAAGGTATACGCAAAATGAGAGATAAGCGGAGCGAGATCGCGCCGAAGCGTCCTATGTTATCGCGCGAACGGAAGAAAAAAACAAGAGCGAAAATTGAAATCGTTGCAATTTCGACGACGGGTAATCGTATGACGAAACCGATCTCGCGGTGCGGAAAGTCGAATCGCTGCTAACATCGTAGATCACGTCGATGTACCGTGATAAAACACCGGAGAAAAAACCGAGTAAGCAACAAACGAACTTCGTCGGTCGAAATGTTGCTCGCCGGTACGAATAACGCGCGAGATAACGCCGAAGTCGTATCTTCTTGCTTCTTCGCGAGGAATCGTCGAGGAGTCATCGGAAAAGAAAAGAAAAACAAGGGAATCATACTTACCTCGCGAAAGAAGTCATCGGCATATTCCAACTCGGTCAGCTCGAACTTGTCGACGTCGATCGGCTGCAGTTCACTGCCCTTGGATCTGATGGACACGTTCAAACATTTGCAAGTGATGTGCATCTTGGGATCGATCGGGGCACCAACGAGTGAGAGCGCGCGAGACTTCTGCTATCCTCCACCTTTGTTTTTCTTCTCGAAGAACAAAAACACGTGGAATCACGAGCGATCGTACACCTCTCTCTCGATGCCACAACGATGATGATCCCCGGCAGGAGGTTCCGAATTTCTTCACAGGCCGATTTCTACAAAAATCGTCGTCTATCGACGAGACCCGCGCTGATATCTCGCCACTAATAACTAATCAGATAAAACAAAGATTATGTAGAAGCAGCGGATGTCATGCACTGATCCTTTGATCTTGTTTTCCTCTTTCTTTCTCTCTCTTTCTATCTCTCTATTATTCACACACGCTCATTAAAAAATTCTCAAATCATCGAGAAAAGATTACGGCACGAAAATAAACAGTACTAGAAACTAGCAGGTAACGATGTGAGGCAACTGCTGTCGCACGACTGTAAGAAAGCACGAGAGCTGTTGTTTTCTGAAAGATCGATATAGGAAAGCCGATGCGACAAAAGATTTCCTCTCACTCTCTTCTTGTTTCTCTCTCTCTCTCCCTCTCTTTCTCTCCTTTTCCCTCTCTCTGTCTCTCCCCCTCTTTTGTGATGTGCGTTACCTTCGGCAATCTGTCCGTCCGGATGGACAAAGTGCACAACAATTTGTACCGTCTGCCTGCAGGCGACTCGTGGAGAGACGTTGCGAGAATTTTGGTGTAGGTGAAACTAAAACGCCCGAGCGACGAAGACGAGCATGCCTCCCTGCTTCGGCTCCCCCGGCTCTGTGTTGCTAATAATATTTGCTTTCACTTCGGTGTTTACATAGAACTGGCGAGCCAGCGTAAGTCGGTATGCTTGCGCTAATATCGCACGTCGTCGTGCCGGCCTCTCTCGTTGACACGCACGTAGCGAATGAAAGACAAAGAGGGTGACGGTAGCGCGACGCGACGAGTGTTTATGAAAATTTCAAGCCGAGCGACTAAAAATAAACCGCGATTTACGAACGCGCCACCTCGGCGATCGTAGATACGCAAAAACATACACACTCGTTAGTCAATTGATCGACTGGCGTCTCATGTGTGTGTGTGTGTGTGTGTGACAATGGGTACACTCGACACCAAATATGCTCCCGTGTCTGGTCAGCCACTGTATCGTAGCGGTATATATTCACTGTCGCTCGATATCGTCGATATTGACGAAGTATTTTGCGTAAAAAAAAATAAAACGATTGAAGAAAAAAATACAGTCATTATTTATACGGATAGTTAGATGGCGATTCGTTCTCTCGGCGAATTTCCGATGCGAAAACACGCCGCTGCAGCGTCGGCCGTTTCGCTGCACCTCTTCTGCACTTCCGTTGCAATTCCCTCCCTCCTTCACCCGTCGAGGGTTTATAAATATACGGCTGTTTTGCTTTAAAAAGATTAAGTACAAGAGAAAATAGGTTGAACTTGGAAACCGTGAGCAACTTTTAAAAATAACCCTGGGTTATTTTTAAAAGCGTCTGTAAAAGTGACTGGTAGTAAACTATTGAAACAAAGGGGGAGGGGGAGATAAGTAGGACAAGGGATGAGGGTGTTTTCTTCAGAGGAACGGAAGAAAGCCGTGTTACACCGTGTTTCTAAGGGGAAAATAGTGTGAAAGAAGAAACACAGAGAAGGAACGAGTTACAAAAGCGCGACTGGGAATGAAACGAATCGATTGATGAAATCGAGTGCGACATAGCGAGTATTTCATCCCATTGAGATAATCGACCTTGCGGTGCGATATTTGTTAAACTCATTAAATGATGCGCGTTCCCGCCACCGTAGGTCCGTCGATTAGCGCGCGTTTGCAAATCGAATGTCTCTTTTCAGCTTTCGCAGTCTGTCACTCTCGTGATTGTGCGGTGATATTTTTAACAGATCCCGCCGTTCCTATCCTTGAAGGAGATTATTATGTTCGCGATTTTTCGAGTGTTCAAGTTGCGCGACAGATAACAAAGGAGTGTTATCTCCTAATATACGATGTCGGTAAATCAAGACGCGTTCTTGAGAGACGAAAGGTTTCGAACTGCCACAACCATTTGTTTTATATCACATTATCATTACAAATTTACATTTGTATCTTCGTATGTATCTATGTACATCCCTATGTACATATAATACAATTATATATGATAGAGTACTGATAAATATATATAATACATATAATACAGTCCTAGATAAATATTGCATTATATATAGGAACATGAATTTTTGCATATAAATAAAAATATTGCCATATTCATCGAGTAGCAAAATATAAATACGTCTGAGACGTAGAAATGCTTCTATTGGAATGACTAGTGTGAAAAAACGCTACTTATTCATTCATTATCTATCTTCAACTCAGAAATGTCTTCCTTCCGCCTGAAATATTCGTTAAAACGTGCCGCGGCGTATCTGAAAAGTAATGAGATGAAATTTATCGCAGCTGTTTGCGAAAAGTAACAATTTTCTTTACAACAATTCACTTACTGGGAACCTTTCTAACACCGATGTATTCGGTTAACAAAGTAATTTTCCCACGATCAGCTACCGCTACTGGCTTTCTTGTATACAGAAATTTTCTTCGAAATTTGTCAACATTTACTTACTCCAAAAAGTCGAAATCGATGGTCGAATGCATGCTTTGAATGAGAGACCAGCAGCCCCAAAAGAAGTGCGGAAAGGGGGAGAATTTAGCAACTTCTTGATACAACTTATCGACTTCTTCTTCGGACACCTCGCTCGTCGCATTGTACGTTCGCAAATATTCTCTCAACCACACTTTTTGGAATTCTTTGTCCGGATACAAGGAATAGTTGGGTACAGGTTCGAGACCTTGAAGACGTCACGTTTGACATTTTACGTTAAGAAAAAGTGACAATGTTAGGAACAGGATAAATTAACAAAAAGAAAGAAACACACGGAAAATACCGTAAAGAAATATGTGTAATTACCGGCATATTCCGCGAAATGATTGGCAATGTCGAATGCCTGATAATTAAATGCGGTATATTCGTAATCGATAAAAGCAACGCTCTTTTTCCGCCGATTGTACAAAATGTTTGTCAGCAAAAGGTCATTGTGAGCGTACACCACAGGACTGTCCAATGTCGAAAGTTCCTCCTTCAATATTTGATATTCCTTTTCCAATACCGCGTATGGTTGTATCAATATCTCGAACCTTGAAATGAACACGCGAAAAGTCAAGTTACCACACACATTCTAACCACGGCGGGGAGCGATAAGCGAAATTCATGTGATCGCTCACTTCGTTTGTTTAAGGGAATCGGAAAACTTTCTCGGCATAATTTCCATATATTTCTCCATCTTTTCCCAGATGAACGCTTCTTTCGGTATATTCTCATTCTCAACTTTGTGCATCTCAGCCAGACGTCTTGCTATTAATGGGTATACTTGTGGGTCCCTGACCGCTTCCACTGTCAGCGTGTCGCCTTCCAAGAATTGATAGGCGAATCCATTGTTAAATGTAGCGTAAATGCAATGGGTATAACCAGCCTTGTGCAGTATCTATACAAAAATAAGAATTGTGTTGATTATTTATTTTATGTTTGATTATCGATTATTTCTTGTCAAACTTGCTATCTAATTCTATGGATACACGTAGCTTTAATTAAGCTAAATCTGTTAAAATCAAGTTTCATGGAGCGATTAATTAATGTTTACCCGAATATTTTCTAATTCCTTTTTTCTATCAACCAGCAAATCTGTGTTGTTCCCATAGATTCTAGTCAAAACCATATCCGTATAACGATCCAAGTGCCATACCCCTACTAATTTATTTGATATTCCGTTAGTAAATGTCTGAAACAAAAATAAAACGAAATGTCACTTTACACTCTTACGTTAACTTTTATATTATAAATAATTGATATCATTTTCCTATCTCTAGAAACTTATGATATATTACGAATTATAATCTGTTAAATGTGTATAGGTTTAAAAAACAAATTAAATCATGTCCAGACTCTTATCAATGGAAACAAGTATTACAAAGATGCTGCAAAATAAAGACTAGTTTTGAAGAATCTTTATTATTTAGATTAAATTATTACTGATACTTTTTTATCATCAATTTTTTATCATAAAGGAACAATGCTATGTTCTTGAAGAATTTAAAATAAAACAAAAAGAAACATTATAGCAGATAAGAATGTAAAACTTATTATTAATTGACACATCAGTGTTAACAATAACAATATAGTCATGATTATATATTTAGAGAAAAAAAAAGTATAATTGGTAGATAAAGAATGTTGCTTTGTATAACTCAGCACAAATATATATAATATAATACATATGCATATGTACTTTGATTTTTGTATCATTTTGTATATATTATATAACATACTATGTATATATAACATACTAACTGTTACCTAATTATCGAGTCAGTGTGAATTATTATACTGTTAAATCTGCTGAATTACCTTAAAATGCAGCTGCTGTAAAGGCCATGACGGTCTAATTTTCTTTATAACACCTTTAACGCCATCAAAAATTTCATTTTCATCTATCGTAATATCAAGATGTTGCTCACATGCATCCATAGTCCAGTAGTATTATTATTTTGTATAATACACTGTTAAAGTTATACAGAAAAGGCTACATACAAGGCACAAGCGATTTGAATTTTTCAGTTGGAATAAATCTATACATGTAAATATTCAATAGATTCGTAAAATATTGTAGATTTATTGAATAAAATATTGTAGTTTTATTGAATATCAGTCCGCTGAAAAGTAAAAGAAAAATGTTTAAATTCCGTTTAGAACAAATTTATAGTATTGTTGTTACCTGATGATAAAAATTACATGAAAAATTAAATGTAAAGTACATGCATCCAATGCATCTCAACTACGCCCCGCCACAACTAAAGGAAATCTATGTATGTTCATGTATATATACTTTGCTGATAAGTAGTGTAGAAATAGATAGGGTTAGTACAGTCAACTAGTTATCAGAGAAGAACTAGAGAGTTACACTATTGGACTCTTGAATTTATCAAGTGAATCTGTAAAAAAATTGACCTTATGTCAGGACAATTTTATACTAAAATTTTATTT